ATGATAAGGAATAGTGGTGCAGTAAAGGGAATACAGATAGAAAATATAGAACATAAAGTAGCGGCCTTTGCAGACGACCTACTGTTATATGTGGGCAACCCCCGAATAACACTACCAAATATAATGAAGATCTTGAAGGATTACGGTGAACTATCAAATCTAAAAATTAACCCAACAAAAACAGAAATTCTGAACATTAATGTACCAAAGAGCGAAAAAGAAAAGCTACAAAAAGAATTCCCCTTTATCTGGAGAGAAAAAGATATAAAATACCTAGGAATAAAACTTGCTACCTCATATAAACAACTGTATAGATTAAACTATATTTCTCTGATAAATGAGACTAAGGATGAACTAAAAAGATTAGAAGGAGGAAACCCATCATGGTTAGGACGTATAAATCTAATTAAAATGGTAATTATACCTAAAATACTCTATAGATTTCAAATGATCCCAATCAAACTTCCAGAGGCGTTTTTTAAGACAATGAGAAAAATGTTAACAAAATATATATGGAGGAATAAGAAACCAAGAATATCTTATGAAACACTAAGTAGGACTAAAGAGAAAGGGGGGATGGGACTACCTGATGTCAAGAGATATTACAAAGCGGTAATGTTAGCAAGAATTTATGATTGGACTTTTAATCATAAGGGGAAAAGTTGGGTAAAAATAGAAAACGAACTGAGTGGAATTAATTTGAGTAAGATGATATGGGTTCCAGCACAATATAGAAGGATTAAAGAGAGCACAAGCACCTACACTTTAAATGTTTTAAGGATATGGGATAATTTACATAGGTATATGAAATGGGAATTCAACTCTATATTAATGCCTCTTGCAAACACGGAGTATTTCCCTCCAGGAAAAGATGAGATATCAGGGAGATGGATTAAAAAGGAAGATATCCAATTGAGAGACGTTTTGGTAGAGGGGGAACTGAGAACATTTAAAGATTTAAAAGAAAGGGGAGGAGATTTGTTTATTAAAATAGATGAGTGGAAATATCATCAATTAAAATGTTTTATTGGATCTCTTCCTAAACCCTTGAGATTAAAAGAGGAGTGGAATCTGTTTGAAAGGTTATTGGAGGCACGTAGAGATGGGAAACACGGTGTCACAAAAATGTATAGAATACTCACAGAACTGTACACAGATATGAAGTTAATTTTTATAACTAAGTGGGAAAGAGATATGGGGGTGGTGATAGATGAAGATCAACAGAACAAGATATTTAGATTAGTTCACGAGAATGTTAGTATGAGAGATGTTGAGATTAATTATAAATGTTTGACACGATGGCATATTACACCGAGCACTGAGCACAGGATGAGGGGGGAGAATTCAAAAATGTGTTGGAGAGGATGTGGGGAAGAGGGCACGGTTTTTCACATATGGTGGCAATGTCCAAAAATTCAGGTTTTCTGGAAGATAATAGTCAATTTAATAGAAATAATAACTGGAAATGACATAGGATTAGACCCAACCATGTGTCTCCTACATAGTGTTGAGACAACAGTAAAAAAATATAAAGAATCAGGCCTATGGTACTATTTAAGTGCTGCAAAAGGGTTGATTCCTAAGTTTTGGTGGAAGATGGAGGTTCCGACGGAGGAGGATTGGATCAATAGGGTAAACCAGATTAGCAGAATGGAAAAATCTTATTATACTCAGGAAGATAGGCTGAAATTATACTACTCGCGATGGGATAAATGGGAAAAATCAGGATTGAAAGAGAAATATAGAATACTCTAAACTAGGAAATCACTTGAAGTTATTGGGCCTAGAGAGACTTTGAGATCTTGCAGAGAGGAGGGAGGGGGGGAAGGAGGGGAAAAGGGGGGTGGGGAGGGATGGGAAAGAAAAGAGGTAAATAGAAGGAACAAGGTAGAAATATATTGACTATTTATATGTATTGTGTTTCTCCATATGAAATTCTTGTTATAATATGAAAAATTAATAAATATTTAAATTAAAAAAAAAAAGGTAAAGTGAATAACATTGATTATGTTATTACAATGGCATATGCAAGTCTGTAGGATATATTAGGCAGCAAGTAAACAAGTTGTCCCTGAAGCTCATGTGTTGAAACCAGAAAAAAATGGGAATCACAGTTTGTTGCATCCAGACAGGTCAGGGTGCCCATTTTGACCCATGTCCACAGTCAAAAGTGCCTACAATGGGCATGTGAGCGTCAGAACTGGACCATGGAGCAATGGAAGAAGCTGGCCTGGTCTGAGGAATCACGTATTTTACATCATGGGGATGGTCCGATGCGTGCATGTCCCTTACCTGGGAAAAAAATGGCAAGAGGATGCACTATGGGAAAAAGGAAAGATGGTGGAGGCAGTGTGATGCTTTGACAATCCTGGTCCTGCCATTCATGTGATTGTTACTTTGACATGTTCCACCTATGTAAACATTGCTGCTGACCAAGTACACCCCTACATTTAAACAGTATTCCATGATGGCAGTGACTCTTTCAGCAGGGTAGTGCACCCTGCCACATTGCAATAATGGATGAGGAACACAATGATTTTAAAGTGTTGATTTGGCCTCCAAATTCTCCAAATTCAAGCATCTGTGGGATATGATGGATAAACAAGTCCGATCCTTCGGAGGCTGATGTGACAATTTCAGGAAGCTAAGTACATCTCCCTGCCAGCTCCTCTCACCAGCCATGAGCTGAATGTAAGGGTGGCTTGCGATAAGTTATCTGTTTGCAGGCTGGTGAGTGGGGTAGGCAGGTGGTGACAGGCCTTTCCTGCATGGTTTCCCTCCATGCTGGGTGCCATGTCTGGGTGACATAGGAGGACAACCCCCGGGGTGGGTTCTTCTGGGCTATGCTAGGCATCAGAGACAGGGTCACTCTTCTACTCATGGGGTATCTTTACTCTGTGCCATTTTCACCAATGCCCTGGCACAAGGCTGAGGTTGCTATCGGGGAACCTTAAGGTGGGACTCTGACATTGGAGATGACCATAGACCATGTACACTTGCACACAACTGTTCTCCAGTTAACTCTCGGGTGTAATTGTACATCTTCCCACTGCAGTTGGAATTAGGCGCTCGGTGCCATACACTGGCCACAGCCAACTGTTCAGCGGTTTTCCACTCCCGGTCCCAGTAGCAGTATGGAACCCCGCCATACCCATAGAACAGGCTCCAACATGCACTTGACTTTAACTCTTGAACCTCCACAGCGCAGTTCTGCTCCGGGTGCAATGGGAGAACAAATGCCTCCCATAAAGAGCGCTACCAACATTTCCCATGTGGCTAGAGGTAGTCCCATCTATAACAGGTACAGATTTACAACCGGCTGCTTGCTGATTGTACCTTCATAGCTCATGGCAACCACACATATAACTTGCACTAGGATGACTCTTCATACCACAATTTCCAGTGACCCAAACCTTAGACCATAGGTGCTAGTTACTTGCATTACACCCCTTTGAGTAACTTCAGACCAGGCAGGAACGAAGTTTCAAAGCTTTACCTAAAAAAGGTACACAGTGAACATCTCAAAATCCAACATGCAAAACAGGATTATTCTTACATCCCTTCTCTGAACTCAGGCTATATGCTGCTCTGGCATACGTGCAAAAGGTAGAGTCAATGTGCTATATGGTCCATCAGAAGCATTCTCCAGTAGCTGGTATCTTAGAGGGTGAACACCAGGTGCAGAGGACCTTCTACATTATGGCAGCAGCAGGTGACATTCTTGTATTTTTCTTGGGTGTGGCTCCTCCGATATTCTCCCTTATGGGGTCTCTCTTAGGTGAACTCTCACTCCGGGGGACCTCAGGTCTGAGCCCTCGCTTCTGGACCACTGTTTTTCTTTTATATCACAGGCAGTGGGTCAGACTTAGCAATAACCTGACAAAAAACAAAAGAACTGGGAAAGGCATTAACCCTTACCCTCTTGTTCACGGCAGCACCTAACTAGAACATACTTTAAACCTGCCTACAAATAATCGTTGGCGCCAACAGCACAAGTCCCTGCCCCTCTTCCTCTCCTCCCAGAACAGTGACTATCCGAGTTGAAGTTTTAAGCCTCCATGATCTTGTGCCCATCTCCATGCCAGAGGCCTCCTCATGACATTCCTGGCCATTAGGCTTTATATCTCAAAGCAAGGAAAGTCAACACAAAATATAGAATTAATGCACTTTACTGATGTGACTTAAAAACATGTCAATTACAGTCACATCAACATACTATCTAGGGTTTTAACTTGAAAGTAAATACATATAAGTGTACAATACGCAACATTCAGTCACATGTGAAAATGCAGCATGCAGCATATTCTTAGGAAGCCATCTAACTCAGTCTCTCTTCACTCAGGGTTGTTAGTACTCACTCAGAGGTTCTGGTTTGCCTTAGGTTGTCTGTGTCCATTTACTGTTCCTTACAGGTAGTCTCACTGAGAGAGATAGGATCAATGCATCCACCTCTAGCTTGGGTACACCTCTCCCAGGTCTTCCAGGGGGTTAGCCTCACTTCAGGGAACACTTGGCTTGACCTAAAAGGCCTTTTGCAACCCGCCCTAGCCTCCAGCACCATAAGGGTCAGGAGGTCTACAATGGGCTCTTCTGGATGAAGGTCTACCTCTCCCTGTTCTCCAACCTTGTCCATGGCCTCCACATGCTAGCTACATCCGTCTGATGGTGGGGTCTCTGGCTCCCATGCCCTAACTGCATTAGGGCTCCTCCCAACCTGACTTATATATAGGCATTGACTCACCCATTACATTACTACAGCAGTGCTCTAGCTAAAAGGGACATAACACCTGATGGCACAATTCTCTGTAACCAGACACTATTCTGGGACAGAGTGGCTTTGTGGCAGATTAGCTGACTGTACCTGTGTACATGCCTGCATTGCATAGAAAAACACAGAGACACAGTAATAACATCACTGGGCCTAAAATAAGGTATGTAATAAAAACAGAAGCGCTTTATATAAACTGCCATGTTAATATGGGGAAAGGGGAACCACAGAAGGCAAAATATAAGCACATTAACCCCTTCCCAGCGAGCTTATGCAAATATGCGGCCCCATTGGACTATGCTTTTTTCCATGGAGCCGCATATTTCCGTATCTGTCTCCTCAAGAGCCCCGGGTCCCGCACTAATGATCTGGTACCAGAACTCCCGATTCTGGGTCACCTGATCGCTGTGATAGCCTCTGATTGGCTATCACAGTGATCAGTTACTGTGAAGCCCACCCTCGTGTTTTTTTCTCTCTGAATGGAGGAGAGGGATACATTGTATGTCTCTCTCTCTCCTTGCAGAGAGAAAAAAAAACAGTGTGGAAAAAAAAAATTAAAAATAAATACCTAGATCAAGGTTTGATCTAGGTCAATGCAAGGTTTGTGTTTGAGTCAAGGTCAGAGCCAAAGGTCAGGGTCAGTATTTTCTGGGCAGGATTTTTTTTATTTTTAAATTAGTGTCAGTGTCAGTTAGTGTCAATGTCAATGTGTTCAAATAAAGCAAAATGCGCACTATTATTTCTGGGCTGTACTACGGTTACAAACAACTAACATACACATGTGGTATTGCTGTCATTGTCGGCAGCAGGAGAATTTATTTTGGGTTGCTATTTGGTGGTAGGTTATGGTAGTAGCAAGAAATATACAGCTAAATTTAAAAAAATATATTTTTTTTTACTATTTTAGGCCAGTTTTCCTTTGATAACAAAAAATTTCAGGGGATATCCATTACCATTTACCACCAAATGAAAGCTCAATTTGTCCTGAACAAAACAAGGTATAATCCATCTGTATGTACAAAGTAGTTGTGATGATATGTACGGTTTTACTAACACATGTCGATGGTGCAAAATTGTGCTTAGGCATTAATATTTGCTTCACCCTTAGGTGTGAAAGGGGTTAAACAGCTTTAATAAAATCGGACTGTCAGCATAGCAAAGGACTATTGAGAACAGGTCCGCCATAAATTTTTACTAGCTATTCTTGAAGGATCAATTCCATGTGCCTGCTTTTGTGCTCCTGTCATTTTAATGCATCTCTTTACAAAAATGGATCTTCTGAAATGTATGTTTTTTTTGTAAAACAAAAATGTCATTTTGCACATTTACGCCAGCAAAGCTGCATCTATAACATTTCCCACTGGGACCCAATAAAATGAAAATCCTCTGTAAATGGAAGACAGGAGCAACAACAATATTACACTGATCTAGCATCATGTGGCAAGCATGAGAGGTAGAGCTAGAACAAGATTTCCCTGTACTGAATATCCACCTATATATAAACATGCAGGGCAGGCACATTCTATTCCGGATTCCTGAGTCAAATGGATTTTTTTTCATTTCAGAACAGTACAAATGAATACTAAATCAAAGGTTCAGAATTAACCAGATACTTTATGTTTAAATTATGGATCATTTAGCAACAACTTTAAAGGAAAAAATGCTCTAAGGCAATTGTATTGATTTTGTTTTCTGGAGGTTTACACACTTACACTATATTGCCAAAAGTATTGGTCCGCCTGTCTTTAAAAGCACATGAAGTTTATTGAGACTTTGCAGCTATAACAGCTTCAACTCTTCTGGGAAGGCTGTCCACAAGGTTTAGGAGGGTGTCTATGGGAAGGTTTGACCATTCTTCCAGAAGCACATTTGTGAGGTCAGGCACTGATGTCGGATGAGGAGGTCTGGCTCCCAGTCTCTACTCTAATTTATCCCAAAGGTGTTCTATGGGGTTGAGGTCAGGACTCTGTGCAGGCCAGTCAAGTTCCTCCACCCCAAACTCACTCATCCATGTCTTTATGGACCTTGCTTTGCGCACTGGTGTGCAGCAATGTTGGAACAGGAAGGGCCCATCCCCAAACTGTTCCCACAAAGTTGGGAGCATGAAATTGTCCAAAATGTCTTGGTATGCTGATGCCTTAAGAGTTCCCTTCACTGGAACTAAGGAGCCAAGCCCAACTCCTGAAAAACAACCCCACACCATAACCCCCCTCCACCAAACTTTACACTTGGCACAATGCGGTCAGGTAAGTCCCATTCTCCTGGCAACCGCCAAACCCAGACATGTCCATCAGATTGCCAGACAAAGAAGCGTGATTGGTCACTCCAGAGAACACATCTCCACTGCTCCAGAGTCCAATGGTGGCATGCTTTACACCACTGCATCCGATGCTTTGCATGGGAAAGACTTTACCCTCTACAAATCTGCTCTTCTCAAATACAATTCCAGCCTCCATACTGCTAAGTAAACCTACTATAACACTCTCATCAAGACCCTCTCATCCAATCCTCGTCAACACTTCTCTACCCTTAATTCCTTACTCCACCCCCCACTGCCTCCACCCACCAATTTACTTACTGCACAGGATATTGCCAGTCACTTCAAGAAGAAGATCGACACAATTCGTGATGAGATCTCCAGTGTCAAGCTTCCTCTGTAACCAACATACCAGGCCCAACACCAAACTCAACACTCTCCTCCTTCGACCCTGTTACCACCAAGGAAGTTACCAAACTCCTTTCCAAGGCCCACTTCACTACTTGTCCCCAGGATCCTGTCCCCTCACGACTGTTGCAGCCTCCTCCCTTCTCTATCCTAAACTCTCTAACCCACATCTTCAACCTCTCACTCTCCATGGGCACCTTTCCTTCCCCACTCAAACATGCACTGGTTACCCCCATCCTCAAAAAACCCTCGCTGGACCCCACCTGTTTGAATAATTTAAGACCCATCTCCCTGCTCCCGTTTGCCTCCAAGCTTCTCGAGCGCCTTGTTCACAACCGTATGAACTGCTACCTCACCGACAACAACCTTCTTGATCCCCGACAGTCTGGCTTCCGCCCACAACATTCCACAGAAACTGCCCTACTAAAACTCACTAATGACCTACTAACTGCTAAAAGCAACGGCCATTACTCCATACTCATACTCCTTGACCTTTCCGCTGCCTTTGACACAGTCAACCACCCGCTCCTAATCAGTAAACTCCACTCCATCGGCCTCCGTGACTCTGCTCTCTCCTGGTTCTCCTCTTACCTTTCTCAGCGCACTTTCAGTGTCACATACAACTCCTCCGCTCCTCTTCCTCTTTCTGTTGGGGTACCCCAAGGTTCTGTTCTTGGGCCCCTCCTTTTCTCTCTCTATACCTCCTCCCTGGGCCAACTGATAACATTCCATGGCTTCCAATACCACCTCTATGCTGATGACACCCGGATCTATCTCTCCACTCCCCAGCCCACCCCCTCAATCTCCTCACATATCACAAATCTACTGAGCGACATATCAGCATGGATGTCACATCACTACCTCAAACTCAATCTTTCAAAAACTGAGCTTGTAATATTTCCTGCTCCCCGATCCTCCACTCATGACTTTACCATTAAGATCAACAGCACAACCATTGGTCCTTCCCCTCATGCCAGGGTGCTAGGTGTAATCCTAGACTCTGACCTCTCCTTTGGGCCCCACATCCACTCACTGGCTAAATCCTGCCACCTCAACCTCCGGAACATTTCAAAATCCACCCCTTCCTGACCAATGACACCACAAAACAACTTATCCACGCCTTAGTTATATCCCGCCTCAATTACTGCAACTCCCTCCTCACTGGTCTACCGTTACACAGGCTATCCCCCCTTCAGTCTATTATGAATGCTGCTGCTAGACTCATACACCTTACCAACCGATCAGCGACTGCTGCCCCTCTCTGCCAATCCCTCCACTGGCTTCCACTAAGCCAATGTATAAAATTCAAAATACTAACCACAGCTTACAAAGCCATCCACAACATCACCAACCTCATCCACAGATACCGCCCAAATCGCCCACTCCGCTCCTCCCATGATATCCTCCTCTCTAGCTCTCTCATCACCTCCTCCCACGCTCGCCTCCAGGACATCTCCAGAGCCTCTCCCATCCTATGGAACTCCCTACCACAGCATGTTCGGTCATCCCCCACCCTGTCTGCTTTTAGGCGATCTTTGAAAACTCACTTCTTCAGGGAAGCCTACCCCACCTCCACCTAAGAACTGTACCTGAATCACTTCCACCAGATCATACCCCGCAGCTATCACCTTTTGTATCACCTCCCCCTTCCTTTAGATTGTAAGCTCCATGAGCAGGGGCCTCACATTCCTTCTGTACTGAAAGTATTGTAATTGTACTGTCTCCCTTATATTGTAAAGTGCTGTGCAAAACTATATAAATCCTGTATAATAATAATATAATAATAATAATAATAATTGCACTTGGTGATGTAAGGCTTGGATACAAATGCACTGTTGTTGTACTCATCTGAAGGCCATACAAAGATTGGAAGTCTTTAGCTATTGACTCTGCAGACAGTTGGCGACTTCTGCGCACTGTGCGCTTCAGCATGGGCTGACCCCGCTCTGTCATTGTACGTGGTCTACCACTTTATGGATGAGTTGCTGTTGTTCCCAGCTGCTTCCATTTTGTTATACCACTGACAGTTGACTGTGGAATATTTAGTAGCCAGGAAATTTTATGGATGGACTTATTGCACAGGTGGCAACCTATCACTGGACCACGCTTTGAATTCACTGAGCTCCTGAGAGCGACCCTTTCTTCCACAAATGCTTGTAGAAGCAGTCTGCATGCCTGGGTGCTTGATTTTTTTACACCTCTGGCCATGGAGGTGATTGGAACACCTGAATCCAATGGTTTGGAGGGGTGTCCAGATACTTTTGGCTATATAGTGTATCTTTTTTTTAATTGTCAGAAAGCATTGAGGGGATTGATATCACAGCCAGGAGTCTGGAAACCTGCCATGAGAAATGCCATGCAGCCATCTCTGGAGGGCATGGAGGCTTGAAGTGGCTGTAAAGAAGCTACTGGGAATCTGCCCTGAACTCTAACAAAGTTAATAATAGTATTTTAGTTAAACATTATTCTAATATGCAGTACTTCAACATAATAAAGGCAAGAATTTCTCCCTGTCTCCTGTGCATGCGAAGAAGGGCTGCAGGGCTCAGGTCCCGAGAGTTCTGTTTGCCCATGCGCTGGTTTCCTTGGCTATCTGCGCACATGCAGGGTTTTCCATGCATGTGCAAAGACTGCTACCAGGGGAGTCCAAAACCTTCCCTATCTTTATGCATGCCTGAATATGCCAACGAGCTCTTCCAGGACCTGCAGGCCGAGGGCAGAGCCCGTGGGCACATTTGTACATGTGTCATAATGCTGGCGAGCCTCCTAGTTAGGTGGGCTGAAGTTCTGCTTTACAGCGGAACTAGCCTGATCAAAATTTTCTATGTCTCTTCTGCAATAAGACACACTTGAGCCAGTCCCCTGAGAAGGTCTCCTATGATGAAACGCATCGGGTTGGAGCTTGTGCTGATGTCATCATGCCGTCGCAATGAACGGTTGGCTGGTGTGTTTCGCATACTGTTGTTTGTACACTGAAGATATTCCTTTTTTTAACAATAACTATACAGAGTGGAGTCTCTGTGATTTGTTACATATTGGAGTGGGGGTGCAGACTGTTTTTCGATTCTTGCTGGAGTGCTCTGTGGTTCCCTATGTGTGTCTTTGTGGTGGATTGCTGAAGACAGTCGTCTGACATCAATGAGCTCTATTAGACCTCCTTTATTTTGAGGTCTCTAATTTTGGTAAGAGGCAGATATTTTGATTATGGTGGTGAACTCACTGAGGGGATTCACAGAAGAAATTGAGCATCACACATACTTCATGGTGGACTTTTCATTGTTTATGATTTTGCACTATTTGTGATGATTGCACATGGTTTATATAATTATATGTTTTTGAATCATTTGATTTATGACTTTAAAAGTACAGTGCAACATAATTTTGAATTGTGAAATAAGACACACTTACTTCTCTGCATGCAG